GGTAGTTAACATATCGCCACCAAGGTGCCACCTATATAAACGTATATCCTCCAGATGTTCCCTATCCTATGTAGATACATTTACACGCATGCATGTATTCTACTTAGAAGTCAAGACTTCACATGGACTAAAATCTTTTCAAACGTAACCCGAGAAGGATATTCATCTTTCCGAAAGAAAACCCCCTCCAAAGTCGGGGTCGTTCAACCATGCTTCACCATAGCGGTCAGTGCGGGTTGGTAAAGGAGTGGGGTTTTAAGGATCTGTCCCACTATCACCGGTCGAGAGCAGTGCGCTAACCACTGCGCCCACCGCTCTACGCCATCGGAGGAACGTGCGCGCACTCATTCTGTGTGCGCATTGACGATGTCTTGCTGATGGGGGTCACCTAGGATACCGCATCTGAAACTGCGGAGAGTAATAGCGCGCATCCAACTTGCGCACGGTGTCAGTATTTTCACGGTCACACACGGACAAGACAAAGATCACCCCTATAGCCTTTAACAGACCGATGGGGCAAGTGCTGTAAGCGAGCACCTATGAAGGCCGGCACGGCACACGACTGGGTGAGCGGCCAGCACCACGCCGGGCAGCCTTTGTCTCTCCAATGGCGATGTTTATACATCGCACCAGGTAACTTGAGGCTGAGTAGACCTAGGGGAGGCCCAGAACCGGCCCAGATAATCGTCACCGGTGTTGGTGGCCGTGAGCGGGAATCGAACTCGGGCGGTCGGCTTCGTAGCGCACCGCGCTACACTCACACACACACACACACTGGATTATAAGACGCATCCGCCAACTTTTGCTTGAAAATAGAGGGTCGAGAGGGGCGGCGGGGGGCTGGTTGACAGGGGGGGAGGGGGTCTTATACTCCGAAGAATATGGTCAATATAACGCATCAAGCAATGTCCCAGGCAATGTGGGTCGGTCATGATGATGGTGTGCATCGTGGCGGGTGTGTGCGCTCGTGCGCCTACAATCCTCACGGGTGCCACGCGGCATTCCGCGGGCTCAGCGGAGCCGAGCCAATCTGCACGCTCCGCCCCGCGTGCAGATTGCGTTTTATAGGCCTGCTGCGAAGACCGAAGCAACTGATGAGAATAACAACGTTACCTCCATCACCACCACCACCACCGTCCAACCACGAGACGCGCGCATTCGACCCGTTCATCCGGACCGCGTGTCCCGTCCGGTGGTGCGAGCTGTCTCTCTCTCTCTCGCAAGCTGGGCAGAGATGAGGCGCTCGTGGATAAACTCTGGACGCGGATGATGATTATACAATACGCACAATATAAACAAACGAACATTCGTCAATAACACAGTGTGTGGGCTTAAAACGAAAGCATATATAATAGGTGACGTTTCAGCCAATGGCCCTTCTTCACAGCACGTGTGTGACTGCTCTGTCGACCAAGCCCGCTGTGATGAATGTGGTGACTCACGTTGTCCTTTGTGCCGCGAATGCAGCAGCAGCAGCAGCAGCAACGACTTTGTTCGACACCAAACCAGGTTGTTATGAGTTGCTGCTGAGCTATAGCGTACGTGTCAGAAGGCTCATCCAGCAGTGGATTAACAAAACAAGGTCTGCACGTGCTCTGTGCACGAGGAGTATCGTAGTGATATCGCATCGTATACATACCGCACAGCAATGCAATTGGCGTTATTCAACATATTTTAGTAAGCGCACGCGTTTATCATGAAAACGTTGCAACCATCTCAAGTTAATTCAATATCTAACCCCAAAAAACCTCTATTATGGATGATATTGGCCGCGAAAGCCTACGTGTTAAACTTCATTCAATATACTGCAAGCTAAAAGTAGGCGACTCTTGTGCACTGATACATTACATACGTGTTCGTAATCGGTTACACACATATTGTAATACAACCCCATGACATACAATGCCCAACATAATACATTCCCTTCTATAATGACCACACTAAATTTAAACACAGTCGCCCAATTATCATCTACACTGTATATCTAAATCAGCCCCAGCCTCCCGTGCAACACGTTGCTTCTATGTGGCCACCCCCACTCTGAAACCCTCCCCACCCGCTCTGAAAACAGACGTCGCTCCGTGTAGTAGCGTCGAGGCACACATGTGGCCCCTTCCTCCCTCTCAGTGCCGGATTCTCCTCGTAGCAAACGTAGCTACACGTGTAGTAGCTACACATGTAGTAGCTACTACACATGTAATAGCTACTACACATTCGATTCATCTCGCGATGAGTAATGCCCAAGGCGGAGGTTATCTAAAAGGCTCAGGGCTTTACTTTGTGTTAAAAGCATGAGCTCTTAAAATTATGCACTCCCAGAAGGCTGTGTGGCTGACGGGATGCGAATTTTTTTTTACGCGGAGGAATTGATATGTGAAGGAGGCTTATTTTGTGATGTATTTTATCCTCAAGGGAGCTTCTGATTATTTTTTTGGAGAAAGCATCGGCATTGTTTCCTCCAATACACACACACCTAGGTGCCCATTCAAGTGGTGTATGTCTAGCCAAACACGCGTGCATTGGCAGTCTATACCATGACTCTGTGTACGGCGCATGTTTATCCTGCATATAACACAGAAGGCCAGCCCGTCGTCTCACGGATAAGGCGCCTCTTCTTCTTGTTATTCGGAGCTGCTCCCACACTCACGAGACACTCGCCATCACGTACCCGAGACTCGGTAGACACCCACTCACCTTACCACTCCCCTAACATTCACCGCACACTCAATCGAAACCCAACACTCGCCTGCAACCAGCTGACACTCATCAGGCACGCTCTGCTAACCTGCCTCTCACCGCTCACCTAAGACTCACTACGCTCACCGCTCACCCGAGACTCACTACGCTCACCGCTCACCCGATAGACCCCACGAGCTGCCCGTGTCGTCGTGCGATACCGGAGGCGTCGAGACGCAGGTCAGCCGGTCGCTTCGATGCCCCCTGGCGCCCACTCGTGAGCAACGTCGCGCGCGAGCGAGTTTTGTTGACACCCCCCAATGGGATGAATTGTACAACACTGCCGGACGAAGGATTGTGTAGTATCAAGTAGTAGTATTTAGCGACGTTAAATAGGCAGCACACCTGCCACTTGTCCACGGCACCCGCTCTCCGAATGCGCCATTCCTCGTGCTGAGGGTGAAGCCGTTGGGGTGGTGGTGGAGGCGACGCATCTCGGAGGATATTGGAAGCTAAGCTGGGTAGCATGGCCCGCGTGCGCACGGCAGATGTTCTTCCTCTGATTTCACTATGTAAGACGATGTTTTTGTTCCTGGGTAGTAAGTGTTATTTTCTAATTTGCTTATGCCTCAAATGTATAGAAAACGGCTATTATTATTATTATTATTCCCCACAAACTTTGCTTTTTTTGACCAGGACTTTACGTGAAGGAATGACGCAAATGCACACCACGTTTTCTCATTGAAAATATGTACATTTCAAAATATCACTGTCCTGGTCACAAAAGCAAAGTTTATGGGGAATAACACCCATTTGGAATAATAGCCATTTTCTGTACTTTTGAGGCATAAGCAATTAGAAAGTAACACTTACTACCCAGGAACAAAATACATGTTTTTTGTTACACAGCGTTCCCTGCCATAGTCATGAAGTCAAACGCTCGCCAATGGAGTTGGAGAAAAAAAAATCCAATGATTGGCAACACCCACGTTCCAAAAAAAATGGCATTTGAGACTTAGTGAGGCTTTTTTTTGGTAAATATTTGGCATAATTATGACTTATCGTTATCATTACCTTTGGGGTGGGGTGGGGGGGGGAAGGCGCGGTGGTTAGCGCGCTGCGATAAGAACTCGGCCACCTGAGTTCGATACCCGGCCAGGCCGAATGTCAGTGGCATCGCCCCATTTGGGAACAAAGCAGCATCGACCAGCGCGATGAAGCATTTATTTTAATTTTATTTTGACTAATTTGAACATATCTACGTGACTTTACCGAAAGACCCAACGATGTGAATTCCTGCAGTCACGAAAGCTTTAAGTCAAGATTTGAAGCATGGATGGTCAACAACAACAAAAAAAATCCACATGACCGCAACACATCGTGGGGAGGCCTTAATCCAGCAGTTGATTAACAATGGACGGACCGATATAAATATACATGCAGTGTGATGGGTGACTTAAAGGGGCTCTCAAGTCCGTGACATTCCGGACGCCTCTGATCGATCTGGGGGATGTTGGGGGAGATGTGGGGAGGGAGGAAGATGGGGGGAGGGCTGTGGGTGGGTGGGGGGGGCAATTGATGCGCTTATGATTCACACGCATTGGCCGCGTTTCCCACGTAAATCAGTAAATGATGCACGCGCGTGTGGACAGATCTGGTTGAACATTCATAAAAGTCAATTAACGGGTTCCGTGTCGCTCGCGAGCGGCAGAGAATAAAAAAAACGAGAGGAGGGAATTAAAATGACTTGACTTTTACCGCAGTCCGGAGCGGAATTGCGTTCGCGGGTCCAGAAGGTCTGTTAATTAGAAATTGTGCTGGATGGACGCGTCTGCCGCAACGGTTTAATAGCGAGAGAATGAATTCGCATAAAAAAATGTGAACCGGGCAAGAGGATGGCGGATGACGAGATATTTCAGCTGGCTCAGCGATCCGTGCTCACTCATGGCGATGTTAAGTTTCAAATGGCAACACTCGTGCGGACTAGCGCGGAGTTGAAACGAAAAATCAGATTTTTGGTACATATTGACGACGATAAAGCGGTCCACACATCTGTTTTTTGAGTGTTCGTGTACGTACAGGGCCGTCCAAAGCGGGGTGCCGGGCCTGGGGCAAATCACACGACGCCTCCAAACTACACAGCAACCACGACATATATGGGACCTTTTTGCAAGTGTCAAATGAATGGAAAAATAATCAAGAATAGGCATTTACTTTTTCTGGCATCGAAATAAAACAGGTGTTAAGATGTTCAAACACCAAACAGATACCTATTTCAAGGCATCGAGTCGGCATCACTGTTCGCCTTTTGGCGTTTTCTGGTCTCACGCTGGCGAGACAAGTCCACGAAGAAAGGCGTCCTTGGTGTAGGCCAGTCTGTTTTCAAAGACAATGCGGATATTATCGGAGCATGTTTTGCCACAAGAATGTATGGTTAATGCAGACTTTATTCCTTGACATAGGTATCTATGTTGTCGTTTAAACATCTTAACACCTGTTTTAATCGCCGTAAAGGGTAAAGCCTCTTCTTAAATCTTGAAGAGGCTTTACCCTTCTGCCTCAGCAGTTCGCCTGCTGTATTTTTAAACCTGAAGACGATTGCTTGTGTTGCGATCGAAATGTGATTTGTTTTTTTATTTTATTTTTCTATCTACGTGACTTTACCGAAATACCCAAAGAGTACCTCTTCTTAAACGTTTGTTCATCGTAAGTATTACATCTGACACCGTGACGCCAAAGAGCGAGGGCCTCCCACCTCCTCCTCCCCCACAAAAGCACGGCCCCAGGGGTGGGGGCCCCAGGGGTGGCGGTCCCAGAGGTGGTGGTCCCAGAGGTGGCGGTCCCAGGGGTGGTGGCCCCAGGGGTGGCGGTCCCAGAGGTGGCGGTCCCAGGGGTGGGGGCCCCAGGGGTGGCGGCCCCAGGGGTGGGGGCCCCAGGGGTGGTGGCCCCAGGGGTGGTGGCCCCAGGGTTGGTGGCCCCAGGGGTGGTGGCCCCAGGGGTGGGGGCCCCAGGGGTGGTGGCCCCAGGGGTGGTGGCCCCACGGGTGGTGGCCCCACGGGTGACGGCCCCAGGGGTGGCGCCTCCAGGGGTGGTGGCCCCAGGGGTGGTGGCCCCAGGGGTGGTGGCCCCAGGGGTGACGGCCCCACGGGTGGTGGCCCCAGGGGTGGTGGCCCCAGGGGTGGTGGCCCCGATTCGCTGCACCCTCGGGTCATCTCTGCGCGGTTGTGCAGAGCTTTCTAGCGCGCTGCGCTACGAACCCGGGCAGCCCGAGTTCGATTTACCCCGCCGCTCATGGCCACCGACACCCGGCGTCGATAATTATCTACACAGGTCTTGGCGATCCAATGGGTACCGGGCGCGGTGTGGGAGACAAATGCGGTCTGGCGTGGTGGTGGCCACCCACACCCCCACCCACACCCCCCCACGTGTGCCGCGCCGGCTTTCTCGATTTAATGTCCATTACTGGGAAGTTGTTGGCGTCCGCTTCTATTGCCGACCCATTGTCTTCGTGGCGGATGTATTCCGGGGCGAGAGTGTCGCTGCTACGTGCGGACAACCGAGGCTGTCTGATCGAATTGAGTGCACCGGTTACGACTCTCATCGCCGAATCCAGCTGAACGTCAACGTCCTTCGCGAGTGACCTCACTGGATGCTGCTCCTCGGTCAAATCGAGGAGCGGTAACTCAGCCCGCGGGGCGACACTCAGAGCGATCACAGCAGCTCAGAGCGTCACGGTGCCGGTGACTCGGATGTCCCTAGCCAGTGTGTGGATCAGATGAAGCCAACCGCTTCGTTTGCTGCCAGCGTTCTCCAGGTGTTACAGTAAAGTAAGAGGGACACGCAGCGGCCCAACGTGATGGGGACGTGGGCCGTGCTCCACTTGTATGACTTCTTTCGCACCGTACGTAGCCAGCGGTGCTAATCGGAGGTGCGGGGGGGGGGGGCAACAGACTAAACACAAAAAAGCAGTTCTAAAGAAATTAGTTTTCAATCTAGGTGATTTAAAAGTGCAGAGATCCAGTGGCTTCCTAATATCGGAAGGAAGAGCGTTCCAGACGGCCACAGAAGCGCATCTGAAAGCTCGCGGTACCAGTGACCGTCCTTGTTCAATGGCAAGCCAAAAAGCCGCTGCTGCGAGGATGACCGGAGTTCACGTGTTGGTTTTGGCTCCTTCACGAGATCAGCGAGGTGTTGTGATTCATTTGTGGAAAGCACTTTATGTGTAACAGAAGTTCACGTCCATTGTCCTTGCCCAATGATTGTCGTGAGTTCTAACTAACTACTTAACGAATTTTTTTTTATTTTGCCAGGTAAGGCCCACTGAACTATATTGAAGCGACCTGGCCACAAATGACAGCTCAACAAAGTGGCTTATCGTGTGGAAGAGTACAGCGGCCACATACTCTAAACGCGTGCTTCTAAATGTGGAGGGAGACACGCAAATGTACAATATACAAACAGGCGTCAGGGTCGTGGATCGAACCCACGACCTCATGCATACCCGGCGAGGTAGTTACTATCTCGTCACCCGTGGCGCTCGGGCAGGGGGTGGCTGCCAGGTATCGCTGCCGAGCTGCTGTCGGTACGCACAGGACATCTTATTCCATTCCCCTCGCTCAGCGGTTTGGGGGCGAGTGTTGCAATGGGCTTGAGAGAGAGGGAGGGAGAGAGGGAGGGAGCGAACGCGCCACGCGGCCGCCTCTGATGAGCGTGGGGTTTATGCGGAGGCACGCCCGGACCTCTCGGCCCAGCCACGGGGCAGCCAGGCGTGACACGAGCACCGCGAGCAATCATATGGCTCACACTTCTCCGCCGCCACGGGCCCCCTCCCTCCCCTCCCTCCCTCTACCAGTTCATCCAGCCGTACAATCTCCCATTCCTCCATCCGTCCTATCAATCCATATGCGTCTGAGCCTACATCTTATTCACAATCTTTTACCCTGTATTCATCCGAATAACCCTCAATTCCACCGGTCGCTCAGCCATCCATTCCACTGTCCATTGAATCCTCCATTCATTCGTAAACAACCTGCAACTATCTACAAAACTAACCTCCATTGACTCTAGAATCCACACACCCATTCATGTATTCATCCATACTTCTATCCATTCCACCAACTATCCCTCTATCAAATACATCCATCCCTCCATTCATCCTTCTATTAAGCCATACAACCCTCTACTAAGCCCAAATTATATCTCTCCGTCTATTAATATATCCTTCTATTCGCCCACCTTCCATGCCAATTTATGTATACATATTACCCACAATGCACTAGGGTTTAAAGGGGAGGCGACAGGTGATATGTCGAGGTTTCCTTCGCTTTATGCTGGTTCGGTTTGTGCGATTTCTACCAGACTGGGACAACATTGTGTATACCGTGTGGGCTACTCGGCAGGCAGCTGTATGTATGTTGAACGTCTTTCGCACCGTACGTAGTCAACGGTGCTAATTGTACGTAGCCAACCGTGCTATTGAAACGCATCTACTGCATGAAACGAGGGAAACTTGGATTTGCATGTGAAATCATCATAATATTTTGATGGCTAGATATTTAAATAACAGACACTCAGGTTCACTACAGGAACACCCATTTTCCTAATGTCTAATGTGCGAATTCAACAATGTGATTAGTATGTCAAGATTATGTTTAAACATTCACTCACTATTTGGTTTGAAGTTATTTGAAAAAAAAATGTTCGTATCTAGTCTCTACATTATTTAGATTAACAATTTTGTATGAAAGAATATGACGTTTTATTTCAGTCTATCTGCGTTTTGGCATTCCGGGCCAACGTTATTCAGTTTGAAACTGGTTTAAAGTGTGCCTGCTTAAACTAACGCTGTTAGATAACATCGGTCTGCAAGACCAATAGGTAGGTGGACTATTTCTCTCTATGTGGAGAGGAAAGGAGTATCCTTATTTTATTACCCATAATGCTCCACAACAGCATTTCATAAAACTTGTTGTATGTACGATGTGGAGGGATGGAGTGTTGACATAGCGGTTAGCTTTTCTCGCTATGAGCCTGGCGAATTGAGTTCAATTGCAGGCCACAGCCAATACCAGTGGCGAGTGAAATGTGAACCAGTCCTGGACACCCTCTCACCATCTGCCAACTGCACCGTCCAGCGCGGTGAGGTATGGCTAAACAACCACCGTAACTTACAAAGGGATGGGTGACTTTAAATGTGATCCGTGTTTTGGTAAAGTGCGATTCGGATACTCCACTGACCAGATCAATAGACCCCCTTTGTTTGATCTGTTTAAGAAGAATGGCATCGGGGGGGGGGGCGACTTGAGACCAGGGGGACACTGCCCCTGCCCGCCACCCCCTGCCCCGTAGGTTCTGCGAGTGGTCGATTTCAAGAAAACGTAAAGCAAATCAACCTCTGGGCTAGAGCGGTTCCGTAGACGCATTCACAAGTTAGTCCCCGGTCACAAGGAAGTTATGAGCGACGCGTAATCAGGGTGACTTGGTCACGCCGTTTCACGTGAAGCGCGCTCTAAATCAGGGCGGCGGTGACACTTTTAAGGGGGCCGTTCGCGAGGCTGTAACTCTCTTTAAGCGGTGGCCGAAATACACATTTATAACGGGCCAACAACACTCGCAAACGAGCCATTGTGCGGCGAGTGGCTGTTCCGCAGCGTGCTGTCGGTGCCGGGTGTGCCAGCTTGTGCGAAAAAAAAAACATTAAAAAAATTGTACGTGGGCATGTGCCACGGTGCATATGTCGCCGCCGTATGGAACGGCTTCGGTATCGGCAGCAGCTGGCTTGCACTCAGGTTGTGAAGCGCATTGAGTAGGCTGCTCGTAATTACGGGCGAAAAGTCGTACTCGAATTGTGAATGTTGCGGATTTGCCCTCCAACACACCGGTGTGATGAATTGGTAACGAATTGGCACGTTTTGTTTACGGGACAAACCTTAACAATTGGCTGTGTCGGGTGGTGGCGGGTTTCACGACGTGTTTATATTTACACGATCTAACACACACACACATACACCTCTGTTATGGATGAACATCATCGTTTTGCAACTCGTCACAGTGGACGAAACGTTCACGGCTTGACGTTAATTGCACGACAATTCCAATGGTAGTTTCCCGGTATTAGTTGGACGTGTTTTGTTCGTTTAGAACGTTCTTCTCTGTGGCTTACTCAGTCGTCTCTCTCTCTCTCTCTACGGCATAAACATGCTGCAGTGGTTCTGCACAGTGTCTGAACATGCGGTTGCGTTTATACGCTATATAAAACCAAATTGTATTTCTTTAAATTCATTGAATCGGTTCGCACTTCCCTCCGTCTTGAATCGTTAACCCGGTGTGTGTCTTTTGAAGGTGCAGTATTTATTCATAGTATTTCATTGGTTGGTGATTTTTCTCATCTAGCAAATACAAAAATACATCGCTCATTCTACTCGTAATATTTTATTAACGCTAAATATGGACCGTTATTACTCCCAAATGTAAAGCCACATATGTTTACATTTATAAGAAACGTGTTATGGATGGGAGGAGAAAAGTATGTTTTAAGCCCACATAAATTTGGCTTATGCGGTTTTGAATACATATGTTTTACATTTGATCAGGTGAACTTCGAATATGAGCCTACAGTTTGACAACGTTAATTGTCAGAAATACTAATCGTTAGATACACTAACTACACGCTGATCGTGACTTCCCTCTTTTGATGAAAACCCTCGGACAATAAACTACGAGTAGCAACAACAAAACACACTAAAACACAAACATTTGCAACGACTCATTCATTTGGAAAAAAAAAAACAACCTACAAAAGCAATGACAACAACAAAAATAATAATGGCCCGTGTCCGGAAACGTGGCGTTTGGATCTGCAGATTTGTGTCTGCCCTCTCTCTGTGTCTCGATAGTTGTAAAACACAAAACCCCACACCCAACAGAATTGAAGAGGGGAGGGGGGGTCTTTCTATGCTAATTAATAGCAACCGATTGCTTGGCAGTGAAAGCAGGCCGTGAGCGAAGCCATCATTCTTGGGTGACAACAAGGGCCATGCTGTGTAAAGGCCCCCCCCACCCCCCTCCCTGAGTGTGGTTGCCCTTCCAAGTGTCCAGGCCGATAGGTTTATGACCTGCGTGTGTCTCTGTGTGTGTGTGTGCGCGTGTTTGTGTGTGCGCGTGTGTGTGTGTGCGCGTGTGTGTGTGTGCGCGTGTGTGTGTGTGTGTGTGC